AAAGTGTGCGGATGTATAATAAAATACCACAGTCGATATTAAGCCGGCCACTAGATCAATTTAAACGCAAAATTAAAAACATTTTTTTTAAGTAGTATTTTATTTCTTTACATCACTCACTAACACACAACGGACTTCAAACGTTTAACTAGTTGAAACTTTCAATTTTAAATTAGTTCTATGCCGTCGAGGTATCTCCGCTGCCCACTGCAGGACCACATTTTTAGTATTTTTATAACGTTTTCCGTGTTTGAGTTGCATATACATATTATGTCCATGTCAGTCCTATTGACAGTACGTGACTTATAAACTCTGTTCTTGACTTTGAACCTAGTGACCGCGTCTTAATGTTTAAAACTGAGGCTCGCTACAAATAATTCCCAAATGCGAACTTTTCAGTGTATATCGAGAGTTGGCATTATTGAAATTAATAATAGCACCCAACAGCAAGTCTCGGAGATTTGATTCTTGTTAGTAGCATTATTTTTTCTTTATGTAAAAATTTGTCAAACAAGCAGGCGGTTTACCTGATGTTAAATGAATACCGTCTCCCATGGGCATCTACAACACCTAAGTGGGTTTGTAGAGATACGTTGAAAACCTTTATAAAATGTGCGCCCCGGTTAAGTCACTCACCAAGTTGTTTAACAATACTGTATAAGCTTCACTGTACAAAATAGTACGTGCATCTTCAGCGTTGAGCGCATTTTCTTATTTTATTCGACTCTATGTTAAAGTCAGTTGCCTTTTTGGAAGAGTTTGACAGTAGGATTAAACAATTCGGACATAGCCACTTCTTAAATGCGTTAAATTTAAATTTAATTACGCATTAACATCTTCATGTATTTATTAATTGATTAATGCCAATATTATCATTCGAAATGAAAAATGATGCTGCTAGTAAAATTTTTAGGAGGGCAAAATTCACAATAAGTTTCATTCACGGATTACACGTTTACATACGAAAAATTTTATAATGATTTTAATCAAATCAATATATTTAAAGTCTTTGTGTGACTAAATAAATGAAGAACTCTAAAACTGATGTCATTGAAACAAGTTGTTTTAAAATGGTGACGAATATTTTTTTTTTTTTTTTAGATAAGTCATAATCAATAAATTTGTTGAGCTTGCGAGAGGAAAGAGAAAAGTTCATCGGATCGATGGTCATTATTAGTAGGTTTTATTGAAGGTAGCTTGTCGATGGTCACAGTATAATGTTTCAGTACAGGTAGCCACCGTTGCAGCCGCATCCACCGGCGCAGCTTCCGGCAATGGAGACGACACCGCCAGCTGGAACTTCGCCGCCGAATCTGACAGCACCCAGAATTGGCACTTGACCGGCGACCAGGGTGGTTCCGGCAACGCCCATTTCGCCAGCGACTGCGACGTCACCGATACCGGTGCCTCCGTAGGCCGGGCCAGCGATGGCAGCGGGGCCGGCGAGTCCAGCGGGACCGATCAGACCTGCGGGGCCAGCGAGGCCGTAGCCGAGACCGAGTCCAGGTCCGTAACCGAATTCAGTAGCCAAAGCGGGTCCGTATCCTAGTCCGTATTCGCCAACGATTCCGGGACCGTAGCCAAAGCCAAGACCGGCTCCGAGGCACTCGCTATAAACATTCTGTAAATTTGCAAAATTTATGAGCCAATAATAGAGTACACAGTGTCTAGTTATTAGTCATTAGTTAACGTTCAAATGTTTCTAATTAAAACCGAGCTACGGGTTAACGAGTAACGAGACCGAACAAATAAACACATATGTACATCTTGTTGTGAGATTTTAGATGTACATATGTGGAGATTATGTCCTAGGTCTTACCTGGATCAAGCAAGCTTGAACGCAGAGTAGCAAGAAAGCGAAAGGAGACATGTTTAAGATTTATTTCCTGACTATGTAGAGTCTAGACTGATTCGACGACACTAAATGTGTGTCTTTTATATTGATCGGACGATGTTGAATTAGAAATAAATAAAATTTCGTCGTAATAATGAAGAATACGTGATGTGGTGCTTGCTCTCTGCAGTCGTTCGAAAAAACATTTCACTGTCGAAATATCCCACGAAAAAAAGCATACCCATATGACATACAATATCTTCTATCCGCAGACTTCAGGATAGAGAAAATTTCGTTCGATGCGTCATGTTATCCAAGGCCATTCCCAAATGCAAACTATTTTGATTCTGAGAGCAATCTCAATTTTTTCTATGGAAACTGTACGTAGGTATGGAGGGTATAAAAAAGGACATAGTTACATTTGATAAGGCAATCAACCGTCCGCCTGTTATGGATTGGGCTATTTTCGGCAGTTGTAAAGAAACCGTGTTCTCATTGTATATTAGTCACGTATGAGAAAAATGGAACGACCGATATTGCTTAATCACTATTTCGTTACCTGTCAATTTACACAGAATCATCCACTATAAAAACTATCCGTACTCAACGTTGCTCACACTTGTTTCTAATAAACACGACCAATATGTCCGCCAAGGCTATCGTTCTTTTCTGCGCTCAAGCGCTTTTGGTTCAGGTGAGAAATCATAACGAAATCTTCGTCTTATATAGCTTATAATGTTTGTATATAAGAGGAAGAAATAACGCATTGGCTCTCTTTGTTTGTTCAGACCATCTCAGCCTACTGTGGCGCTGGATTGGCCTACGAAACACCCTTGATCGCGGCCGGTCCCTGCGGTGCCGCCGCCCCCTGGACTGGATACGGAGCTGCAGGTTGCGGTTACGGTCTAGCCGCCATCCCGACATCTAGCGGTGGTGGTTTCCCTGTCTCCAGTGCTTCTCCCATCTCTCCCGTCGGAGTGTCCGTTCTGTCAGAGAACGAGATCGGAGGTATCTTGGCCGTTGGTGGTGAGCTGCCTTTCCTGGGTACCGTCGGCCTGGAGGGCGTTCTTCCCACTGCTGGTGCTGGTGCCGTCTCCTACGGCTGCGGCAACGGTGCCGTGGGCATGGTCAGCGAAGACATCGCCGCTCCCGCTTGGGGCTACCCCGCCGCCGCTGGTTTGGCTTACGGACCCGGCCTCGGTGCCGGTTTGGGTTACGGAGCGGGTCTCGCTACCGGATTCGGCTACGGTCCCGCTATCGCTGGACGCGCCTTGGGCGGCTGCGGATGCGGTATCTACTAAGACTTCTCTCATAATCGATCTACATCTGGAAATACAGAATTTGAATGCATTTGTATATCTATCTATCTCCTGAACTTTCCCACTGGATAAAGAGTATGCGCAATTGAGTAATGAGCACCCGAGTATGCACCTACATTTCAGTGAATTCAGTGGAATCATTACAAAGATACACTTGGATCGATTACCTCATAAAATGATTTCGGTGCCTACAATTAATCATCACTAATGCACTAAATAATCCATTCCTACCGTCGCTTAGGTGGACATAGAATTCATATAATTTGAGACAAGTTCCCTTGAGTCTCTTATAACGGTAACGATGGGCTTTCGGTTTGGTTTTAATTAAGATAAATAGATCCTTAATGGAGCAAAGTGTGCGGATGTATAATAAAATACCACAGTCGATATTAAGCCGGCCACTAGATCAATTTAAACGCAAAATTAAAAACATTTTTTTAAGTAGTATTTTATTTCTTTACATCACTAACACACAACGGACTTCAAACGTTTAACTAGTTGAAACTTTCAATTTTAAATTAGTTCTATGCCGTCGAGGTATCTCCGCTGCCCACTGCAGGACCACATTTTTAGTATTTTTATAACGTTTTCCGTGTTTGAGTTGCATATACATATTATGTCCATGTCAGTCCTATTGACAGTACTAGTCATATTCACTAAAGCTAGCACTACTGGCCCTCTGAATCGAACTCTCGGTACACGACACACCTATCGAATATCTTACGTCATGATTGATTGTTATGATAAAATAATTGTATGCACTTAGGAAATTAAGAACCATTTCTTTATGTTATATCAAGTAAACAATATTGTTTAATGAATTCATATTTACTTTAAACATATTCATATTCCGTATAAAAATAATATATTCAGTGTCGTTTTGTTGCCTCACAAAAATTCTACTACTTTCCACCCATACGTGACTTATAAACTCTGTTCTTGACTTTGAACCTAGTGGCCGCGTCTTAATGTTTAAAACTGAGGCTCGCTACAAATAATTCCCAAATGCGAACTTTTCAGTGTATATCGAGAGTTGGCATTATTGAAATTAATAATAGCACCCAACAGCAAGTCTCGGAGATTTGATTCTTGTTAGTAGCATTATTTTTTCTTTATGTAAAATTTGTCAAACAAGCAGGCGGTTTACCTGATGTTAAATGAATACCGTCTCCCATGGGCATCTACAACACCTAAGTGGGTTTGTAGAGATACGTTGAAAACTTTATAAAATGTGCGCCCCGGTTAAGTCACTCACCAAGTTGTTTAACAATACTGTATAAGCTTCACTGTACAAAATAGTACGTGCATCTTCAGCGTTGAGCGCATTTTCTTATTTTATTCGACTCTATGTTAAAGTCAGTTGCCTTTTTGGAAGAGTTTGACAGTAGGATTAAACAATTCGGACATAGCCACTTCTTAAATGCGTTAAATTTAAATTTAATTACGCATTAACATCTTCATGTATTTATTAATTGATTAATGCCAATATTATCATTCGAAATGAAAAAATGATGCTGCTAGTAAAATTTTTAGGAGGGCAAAATTCACAATAAGTTTCATTCACGGATTACACGTTTACATACGAAAAATTTTATAATGATTTTAATCAAATCAATATATTAAAGTCTTTGTGTGACTAAATAAATGAAGAACTCTAAAACTGATGTCATTGAAACAAGTTGTTTTAAAATGGTGACGAATTTTTTTTTTTTTTTTTTTTTAGATAAGTCATAATCAATAAATTTGTTGAGCTTGCGAGAGGAAAGAGAAAAGTTCATCGGATCGATGGTCATTATTAGTAGGTTTTATTGAAGGTAGCTTGTCGATGGTCACAGTATAATGTTTCAGTACAGGTAGCCACCGTTGCAGCCGCATCCACCGGCGCAGCTTCCGGCAATGGAGACGACACCGCCAGCTGGAACTTCGCCGCCGAATCTGACAGCACCCAGAATTGGCACTTGACCGGCGACCAGGGTGGTTCCGGCAACGCCCATTTCGCCAGCGACTGCGACGTCACCGATACCGGTGCCTCCGTAGGCCGGGCCAGCGATGGCAGCGGGGCCGGCGAGTCCAGCGGGACCGATCAGACCTGCGGGGCCAGCGAGGCCGTAGCCGAGACCGAGTCCAGGTCCGTAACCGAATTCAGTAGCCAAAGCGGGTCCGTATCCTAGTCCGTATTCGCCAACGATTCCGGGACCGTAGCCAAAGCCAAGACCGGCTCCGAGGCACTCGCTATAAACATTCTGTAAATTTGCAAAATTTATGAGCCAATAATAGAGTACACAGTGTCTAGTTATTAGTCATTAGTTAACGTTCAAATGTTTCTAATTAAAACCGAGCTACGGGTGAACGAGTAACGAGACCGAACAAATAAACACATATGTACATCTTGTTGTGAGATTTTAGATGTACATATGTGGAGATTATTACCTAGGTCTTACCTGGATCAAGCAAGCTTGAACGCAGAGTAGCAAGAAAGCGAAAGGAGACATGTTTAAGATTTATTTCCTGACTATGTAGAGTCTAGACTGATTCGACGACACTAAATGTGTGTCTTTTATATTGATCGGACGATGTTGAATTAGAAATAAATAAAATTTCGTAATAATGAAGAATACGTGATGTGGTGCTTGCTCTCTGCAGTCGTTCGAAAAAACATTTCACTGTCGAAATATCCCACGAAAAAAAGCATACCCATATGACATACAATATCTTCTTTCCGCAGACTTCAGGATAGAGAAAATTTCGTTCGATGCGTCATGTTATCCAAGGCCATTCCCAAATGCAAACTATTTTGATTCTGAGAGCAATCTCAATTTTTTCTATGGAAACTGTACGTAGGTATGGAGGGTATAAAAAAGGACATAGTTACATTTGATAAGGCAATCAACCGTCCGCCTGTTATGGATTGGGCTATTTTCGGCAGTTGTAAAGAAACCGTGTTCTCATTGTATATTAGTCACGTATGAGAAAAATGGAACGACCGATATTGCTTAATCACTATTTCGTTACCTGTCAATTTACACAGAATCATCCACTATAAAAACTATCCGTACTCAACGTTGCTCACACTTGTTTCTAATAAACACGACCAATATGTCCGCCAAGGCTATCGTTCTTTTCTGCGCTCAAGCGCTTTTGGTTCAGGTGAGAAATCATAACGAAATCTTCGTCTTATATAGCTTATAATGTTTGTATATAAGAGGAAGAAATAACGCATTGGCTCTCTTTGTTTGTTCAGACCATCTCAGCCTACTGTGGCGCTGGATTGGCCTACGAAACACCCTTGATCGCGGCCGGTCCCTGCGGTGCCGCCGCCCCCTGGACTGGATACGGAGCTGCAGGTTGCGGTTACGGTCTAGCCGCCATCCCGACATCTAGCGGTGGTGGCTTCGCGGTCTCCAGTGCTTCTCCCATCCCGCCCGTCGGAGTGTCCGTTCTGTCAGAGAACGAGATCGGAGGTATCTTGGCCGTTGGTGGTGAGCTGCCTTTCCTGGGTACCGTCGGCCTGGAGGGCGTTCTTCCCACTGCTGGTGCTGGTGCCGTCTCCTACGGCTGCGGCAACGGTGCCGTGGGCATGGTCAGCGAAGACATCGCCGCTCCCGCTTGGGGCTACCCCGCCGCCGCTGGTTTGGCTTACGGACCCGGCCTCGGTGCCGGTTTGGGTTACGGAGCGGGTCTCGCTACCGGATTCGGCTACGGTCCCGCTATCGCTGGACGCGCCTTGGGCGGCTGCGGATGCGGTATCTACTAAGACTTCTCTCATAATCGATCTACATCTGGAAATACAGAATTTGAATGCATTTGTATATCTATCTATCTCCTGAACTTTCCCACTGGATAAAGAGTATGCGCAATTGAGTAATGAGCACCCGAGTATGCACCTACATTTCAGTGAATTCAGTGAAATCATTACAAAGATACACTTGGATCGATTACCTCATAAAATATTTCGGTGCCTACAATTAATCATCACTAATGCACTAAATAATCCATTCCTACCGCCGCTTAGGTGGACATAGAATTCATATACAAATACCAAGGAGCACCGATAAGCCGAGGCCGCGTCCGTTGGTTGTCCGTCTCGCTCGTAGAGTGATACGCGACAAACTAATTCATGAAGCGCGTGTTCGGCGAGGTGCGGATACTGCTGGTTTGAACTTAAGTGCCGAGCCGCGCCGATTTTATGTTAATGAGCGGCTTACCTCAATTAACAGGCAACTATTTTATAAGGCACGGGAAGAAGGACGGCGCAAAGGATGGAAATATGTTTGTACGCGAGACGGATGTATTTTTGCGCGTCGTGATTCTGGCTCACCGCGTCATAGAATTCGCACAGAAATGGACATAAATAATTTTTTTGCGGAATGAATAGTTTAGAGCGAGTCCTGATCTTCTTTTTGTTTTTATTTCTTGCAAGATGTTTGTTTGGGTGCAGTTCAGATTTCCATCACAATCATCTCTTTGTTGTAATTTTTCGTACGCATCTATATTATAGCTGTTACAAGAACTTTTTATTTTTGTTTAGAGTACATTTTGTTTCCACTTTATTATTAAGCTACATAGAATTTTTATTAAGCTGTTGGGCTGCAAAGATTAGCGAAATATGGAGTAATTTTTTTCAATGTTATTTTGTAGTTAAACTTTTCGGGTTATTGCATTTATGTTTTGTTTTAGATCATAGTGAATATGATGACAGATTTTATATTTATACTTTAATGTGTAGCAGCATAAAGGGAATTTACGGAAACGTATTAGGGCGCAAAATTTTCAGTAGTCAAATAAAATGTAAAGTTGTGTGTTTGTCAATATACATTGAGATATATTTAACCGTATATAAGCAGTGGTGTCAAAGTCTAATTTATCATGTTTACCTTTGGATTATTATTAATTTTATATTGTTCACGTTTTATTTATATGAAAATGATTAAGTCGAATAAGTTAAAAATTGGCTTCTTAAACCCTGGCTCTCTCGGTACTGGACACGACGAGTTCATAGCTGCTATGGCATATCACTCGGTAGACATTATGGCCATCAACGAAACATGGCTTCGGGCAGGGGAGGAGGGGCGAGCGCCTTGCGTGCCGGGGTATCGACTGCGACACGTTCCCCGGCCTCCCGAGGTGGCTACGATCAAACAGTACTGCTCGGAGATTTTAACATCGACATTTTAAATAAAAATTGTGTCAGTACCAAAATGCTGTCAGACTTCCTAATGTGTCATAACCTAGTGCAATATGTTGAGGAACCTACACATTTTACAGAACACAGCGAGACACTCTTAGACATTTTTTGTACAGATGCATCAGTGTCATACATAAAAGTAGATTATATTAATGACCTCAGTAGTCATGCTTTTATCGTATGTGAGCTTAATATTTCTAAGCCTAAGTTTCAGCCTAAGTGCATCACATATAGACCTTTGAGGGAAATGGACATAAATATCTTTAAACAATGTTTAATACATATCAACTGGCACTGTGCATCGTCTAATAACATAAACGATATGATTTACTCTTTCAATAACACTGTATTAGATATATTCAATGCTCACGCACCTTCTAAAACTGTTTATATAAAAAAAAATATTATCCCTGGATAACGTATAACATAAGATGTATGATGAGGACGCGTAACGAAGCACAAGCCAGAGCTCGCAAAACTAAACTTACTCCACATAAGGATTATTATAGGGAACTAAAATCAATAGTAAGTAAAGCGATATTTTCAGAAAAGACTGCCTATTTCAAATTTTATGTTAACTCCAAACTAAAGCAACCAAAAATAATGTGGAAACATATTAAAGAACACGTACAAATAAAAAGTAAGGATTCCTCACTACCATCTCATTTTAGTGACCCTAATGCCTTAAACGATCATTTTTTGAATATTCCTGGAAATAATGATGTTTCATTATCCCTTCTCACTTTCTTTGAATTTAATGGCTCTAATGATAGCTCTTTTCATTTCAAAGAAGTCTCAGAAGATCAGGTTGTTAAAGTTGTAAACTCTCTGCGGTCTAATGCAGTGGGATGCGATGGCATTTCACTTGATATGTTAAAGTTATTACCTAAAGATGCTATTACAGAAATAACACGTATAATTAATACATCGTTTGCGACACACATACCTACCCGGATCTCTGGAAAAAAGCAATCGTGAAACCTATACCTAAAACTAGTAACCCTGTTTATATGTCGGATCTTAGGCCTATTAGCATCCTACCGTGCCTTTCTAAAGTTATTGAAACGCTTGCATGTAATCAACTAACAGAGTACCTAGAATCAAATAATATCCTTCCTAAGTTGCAGTCTGGATTCCGAAAAAAGCACAGCACTACCACTGCGCTTATAGCGGGCGTAGATGATATAGTGACCGCACAGGCGAGGGGGGAAGGTACAATTTTAACGCTTCTCCTTGATTTCTCACGCGCGTTTGAAACCCTAAATATTCCATTACTTCTGTCCAAATTATATTTTTATGGAATTAGTAGAAGCGCAACTCATTGGTTTGCCAGTTACTTTGAAAATAGGTCGCAACGGGTTGAAATGCACTCAAGTGGAAGGGACAAAAGTATCTCTGGAGAGCGACTTGTAGACCGAGGTGTACCACAGGGATCCATCTTAGGTCCATTACTTTTTATAATATATAGTGCAGATCTTATTAAAAATATTGAGTTTTGTAAGTATCACATGTACGCTGACGATTTACAGATATATATTTCATTTAAGCCTTGTGATGTTCACTCAGCTGTAGCAAAGTTAAATTTGGACTTAAGTCGGATATCTTTGTGGTCAGAGCGTAATGCACTAGTTCTCAATCCGAAGAAATCTCAGTATATGATTCTAGGATCGTCAAATCAAATAAAGAAGATCATACTAAGTCACCCTGCCATTACCGTAAACAACGAATCCATTGTAAGAGTGGCGGAAGTCAGAAATTTGGGGGTAATAATGGACGACAAGCTGCGTTTTGAGAAGCATATTATGGGTATTGCACGTAACTGCTTTTACAGGTTGAAAGTACTCTATCGTATTCGTGATTACCTAAGTGTTTCCTTACGTATCAATCTATGCGAATCTCTCGTTCTCTCAAAATTCAATTACGCGGATTCCCTCTTAGGCCCACGTCTGTTATCACGAACAAGGCAAATAATACAAAGGGTACAGAACGCCTGTGCACGTTTCTGTTTTAATATACCTCCACGTGCACATGTAACGCCTTTTATCAATAACGCAAATATCCTAAAGATGGACCTCCGCAGACGACTACACTTCGCCTCACTTTTATTTGGAACTATTAGAAACAAAGAGCCGTTATATCTTTACAATAAGTTGATTTGGGCTAAAGATCAAAATGAGAAGTATAATACGAGATCATCTAATTATAAATTAGTTTATCCTTTCTACCGTTCGGTCGCTTTTAGAGGCAGTTTCAAATACAATGCCACGAAGTGCTGGAACAACCTCCCGCCTCCCTTGCGCGACCTGA